CAAGTCGACCAGAAGGCCTGGTCGACGTACCAGGTCGACCAGAAGGCCTGGTCGACGTACCAGGTCGACCAGAAGGCCTGGTCGACGTACTAGGTTCTGGTCGACCAACCAAGTCGACCAGAAGGCCTGGTCGACGTACCAGGTCGACCAGAAGGCCTGGTCGACGTACCAGGTCGACCAGAAGGCCTGGTCGACGTACTAGGTCGACCAGAAGGTCTGGTCGACCTACCAAGTCGACTCGAAGGCCTGGTCGACTTACCAGGTCGACCAGAAGGTCTGGTCGACGTACCACCAAGTCGACCAGAAGGCCTGGTCGACCAACCACCAAGTCGACCAGAAGGCCTGGTCGACCAACCAGGTCGACCAGAAGGCCTGGTCGACCAACCAGGTCGACCAAGAGACCTGGTCGACCAACCAGGTCGACCAGAAGGCCTGGTCGACCAACCAGGTCGACCAGAAGGCAGGGTCGACCAACCAGGTCGACCAGAAGGCCTGGTCGACCAACCAGGTCGACCAGAAGTTCTGTCAGCCGACCACCCAAGTCGGCTACCCCAAGTTGGCGTCTCCAAGTCGGCGCCCATGCAGTGGCACCCGTGCAGGTCGACTTCCTCGTCGACCAGCTCGCCCACTGCTGCAGGTCGGCTGCACCCCTACACCCGACCACGAAGTCGGCTCCGCCCAAGCGAGGACGGGGCCAACACACAACTCCCGTTGACACTCCCCTGCCGCGTTCACGCTTGGGCCCCCAACCCACACGGCAGTACTTCTTTGGAGAAAAGCTCGTCGACGTGCACCCAACACACAGCACGTCGTCCACCGCACCAGCCATGCAAGAGGGCATGGCACCTACTGCTGCACGTCGTCGTCGCCCACGTCGGCCAGACGCACTTGGCCGATTGCAACGGAGCACCGGTTGAAGGCCGGATAGTGCAGCGCCTTCGTCAAGAAGTCGGCCGGCTGCTCAGCGGTCGGGATGTACTGCAACGCAAACATTTCCCGCTTCACCATGTGCTGTAGCCAGGCCTGTCGCCGCTCCATGTGCTTGAGGTTGCGTGGTTCCTTCTTTTTTTTTTGTTTTTTTTTTTTTTTTTGTTTTTTGTTTTGTGTTTCTTTTTCCTCAACCTGAAATGTGATGCTTGGTTGTATTTTGTCTCTGCTTTGGTTGTATTTTGTTTTGTTGTCGCTCTTTGCTCTCTCTTTTGAGTTCTCTCGCTGTCGTTCTTTTCGTCTCTGAATTTCCATCAATGCTCGATCGAGGCGACACCCGCGGCCACCACCTCCTTTGGAAGTGAGTGAGACATCCGGTTACCCCTTGGTAAACAGAAGGTCCCCCCGGTAACTATCTTGTTCTCTCTCATCAATCGTCGATCTGTTTTTTGTCAATCTTGTTTGCCATTCGTTGTTTTTTGCATTTCGTTCTTGTTTTCCTTTCATTCCTGTTAGCCTTTCATTCTTGTTTGCCATTCGTTCTCTCCACTCTCGTGTTCCCTAATCTCTCGCCCATGGCGAGCTCCGTTTTGTATTCTCTCTCCATTTTCGTTCCTCCCCGTGCAGAGCCAGCAGAGGGTGGCAGTGGGATGACGCACGCCAGCCGTCCTGCTCGCCTCTCAGGGAGCAGAGCACCTCAACAGGAGCGCGTGCAACGGAGGCATACAGGGCCGTGGATGGCGCGCATGCATCCCGACTCGACGAGCGCGGGTGGTGGGATGACGCACGGCCGGCAGCCACGGGCGTGTGGCTGCCCGCCCTGCTGATCACCGCTTGCGAGGGCGAGGAGGCGGTGCTACTGGTGGAGGGAGGCGGGAAAGGCGCGTTCCATTCTGGCCTGCAGTCGAAGGCGGGACTGCAGTCAATAACGACTCCAATTGAGTTTCCTTACCCCCGCCTCTTTACTCTGCCTCTTCGTCTCTTTGTCATTCATTCTCGTTTGACTTAGAGATTTTCATCGACACTCTTGGCAGCAACGACCTTTTCTGGATGTGAGCTCTCTTAAGCTCTTTACTCTCTCTCTCTTCATGAATCTCACTGGCGTTCTCCTATGTCTTTCAACTCTTCATCGATAGAGGCGGCAACGGCCTTCTCTCTAGATGTGAGCTCTCTTAAGCTCTTTACTCTCTCTCCCTTCATGAATCTCGCTGGGCGTTCTCCTATGTCTTTCAACTCTTCATCGATAGAGGCGGCAACGGCCTTCTCTGGATGTGAGCTCTCTTGTGCCCATTACTCTCTCTCTCTTGAGCTCGAGACGAGGCGAGGCGAGGTGAGGCGAGTTGGAGAGAGGCGGTGTGAAGCGCAAGCTTCCCCGGGGGCGGATTGAGCAAGGCTCTTTCAGGAGCGAGCACAAGGACTTGCTCTGGTGAGTGGGTGAATGGTGCTGCTTTGGTATGTATGTGCTGGACTGGTGGTCACGGCTTGAGCAAGCAATATGCGGCTGGAGGATCGAAGGCGCAGTGGGTGCAACGAGGAGCAATATGCGGCTGGTGGCATCCTGCCACTCATTGAGAGGTGAGATGTTTGTGGCGCAACGTGGTGGGATGACGCACGGCTGGCAGCCATGTGCATGTGGCTGCCTCCTACCCGCCCTGCTGACCACCCGCTTGCTGGCGGCTCGCGAGGCGAGGCGGATGGAGCAAGGATGGAGCGAACAAAGCTCGTCTTTGCCCATGCGTGTGCTCTCCCCACCTGCACCCTTGGGGTAAGGTGGAGGTGCGAGAGGGAGCGGCTGAGGGATTGGAAAAGGAGGAACTTGGAGAGGGATGATGTCGTATGTGGAAGGGGACTCAAGCTGCGAAAGAGTGTGTCTGGGCAGTGGTCATTTGATTGGGGATGGGGCCCCCCTCTCATTGGCTCTCGTTCTCCCTCTTGTCCAGCTGGGCTCGGTAAGAGTGTGTCTGGGTGCTGATGATCTGATTGGGGGGTGGCTCCCCCTCTCGTTGACTCTCACTCTCCCTCTTGCCGAGCGGAGCCGCAAGTAAGAGTGTGTCTGGGTGGTGAGCCTCTGATTGAGGGTGGCTCCCCATATCGTTGCTCTCACTCTCCCTCTTGCCGAGCGGAGCTGCAGAAAGAGTGTGTCTGGGTGGTGATTCTTTCGATTGTGGGTTGGCCCCCCCTCTCGTTGGTACCCACTCTCCCTCTTGCCCAGCTGAGCCGCGGTAAGCGTGTGTCAGGATGCGTTGCTTCGATCAGGGCTGGCCACCTTCGATTGGGGTTTCTCATCCTCCCGCTGCCCCACCGTTGGCTCCTCCTCCCTGACTGCAATACTTCACTACCCTCTTCCCCGTAACTCCTCTTTCGGTCTTGACGCCCTCCTGATCAGCGCTCCTCTTTTGATTGACGCTGGACGTGAGTGCAACGCCAACGACCGCCTTCTCTGGATGTGAGTGCAACGCCAACGACCGCCTTCTCCGGATGTGAGTGCAACGCCAACGACCGCCTTCTCCGGATGTGAGTGCAACGCCAACGACCGCCTTCTCTGGATGTGAGTGCGATACCTACGGCTGCCTTAACTGGATGTGAGTGCATCGCCGACGGCCGCCTTCTAGATGTGAGTGCAACATCACGCCCTCCTGATTAGCTTGTTGCCTTCGCCCCTTTCCTCTTTTTGTCAACTCTGGATGTGAGTGCAACGCCGCCGGCCAGCTTCTAGATATGAGTGCAACATCACGCCCTCCTGATCAACTCTCTGTCCTTCGCCGCTTCTGTCTTCTTGTCGACGCTGGATGTGAGTGCAACATCACGCCCTTCTGATTAGCTTTCTGTCCTTCGCCTCTTCCCTTTTTTGTCAACTCTGGATGTGAGTGCCGTCCTGTACCGACCGTAACCTGTCTGTGCGACTGTAATCTGTCCGTTGTGTGTCGACGGTGCTTGCTGCTTGCATTGCTCCCGCGTCCCTCCCTCCCGCAGGTGCAGTGAGCCTGGGACAGCACGGTCTGCCTGAGGTGCATCGTTTGCCTTTACTCCTGCCCCGGGGGTAGGAGCTTTGTTTGCCTCATGGCTTGTCTCCTCTCTTTTCTTCTCAGCCCCCCCAACAGGGTCCCAAACGATGGCCTCCACCTCACCGCGGTGTTTGGGTGTAACGTCAGGGGCAACCCTGGCGGCCAAGAGGGGCCCTACCAAGCAAGCAAGGAAGACCCCTCCAAGTGCAACAGCAGTACTGGATTTTGTAACAATATAGTAATTGTGCAACAGCAGTAGTATTGGCAGCAGAGGAATTCGTAACATTATAATGCTGCAGTAATGGCAGCACAGGATTTTGCAACAATACAGGACTGCAGTACTATAGGCAGTACAGGAACCCACAAACAATACAGTACTGCAGTAGTAGAGGCAGTACAGGATTCTAGGCAATACCGTACTGCAGTAATAGAGGCAGTACCTGATTCTAGGCAAGACAATACTGCACTGATAGAGGCAGTACAGGATTTTACAGACATTACTCCAGTAGTAGAGGCAGTAGAGGATTCTACAGACAATACTAAGAGGCAGTACAGGAAATTCAGTGCTGCACTGTGCTGGCAATACATGATTCAGGAAGGAAGATGGAAATGTTACAGCAGCTCTGCAGTGATGCAATGGCAATACAAAATAGCGAACAGATCTGCACAAAATCATCATGTTTTGAGGTTGATCATTGGTAAGACAGTACCGGTACATTCAGGAGCACTATGAAGAACGGATGCAGATGAATCAGATACTAGAACAGCATCAGTGCTTATGCAATGGTAGCTGGCATGAAGAGAGTGCTTCAAGCAGCAATCTGCTATTGAGTATGGGTTGCTGCACAGTCTTGCAAGTGCTAAGAGCAAAGGTGCTCCTTTGGTAGTGTATAGAACGAATCCGAGGGCCTGCTAGTAGAAAGTAACCCATGACACCAGTTTTGCTGCAGCGGAAGGAGCAGAATGGCGACAGCACCAGCACAGGCACCCGCACTGGTGCTTGTATAAGCATCACCAACCGCCGTGGCTTGTGCCATGCTGCAGAACATCTAGCTCTCAGCCTCAAATATGGGCTGTGCCGGGTTCAGTGCCTTCTGCTGCTTGGGACAGAGGCGAGGAGGGATGGCGAGAGGGACAAGGGGAATGGGCCAGGCAGGGAGGGACCAGAGAGGACTGAAGTCGGTGCAGGGACGAGAGGTGTGAGGAGGAAGGACAGAGCGTGCATGTAATCAAGAAAATAGACATGATGCACAAGTGTGGTGCAGTATTCAGTGCCTTCTGGTGCACAAGTATGTGTGTGGGTATGGGTGTGGGTGTGGGCATAGGTGTGGGTGTGGGTATGGGTGTGGGTGTGGGTATGGGTGCGGGTGTGGGTATGGGTGTGGGTGTGGGTATGGGTGTGTGTGTGGGTATGGTTGTGTGTGTGGGTATAGGTGTGGGTGTGGGTATGGGTGTGGGTGTGGGTATGGGTGTGGGTGTGGCCGTGTGTACGAGAGAAGCCAACCACCCACAGTCACAACGCCCTCAACCAGCAACCCACCCACATGCACACTCACACACGATCACCAAACCATCCATACTCACACTCACACACGATCATCAAACCACCCACACTCACACTCGCACTCGATCACCAAACCACCCTCCACTCACCACATAGTAAGCGATGATGATAGCAAGCACAACGGCAAGCACCCCAGCCACCCCCAGAGAGCACTGCCGCTCAACCACGGGCTCTTCTTCTTCCTCAGTGCCACCAGCGCCTGCCTCCTCCGTTTTTTTTGGGTGTTCTCCGCTGCGTGAAGATTGCTTGAAGCTCCTGAAGGTAGCGTGAGAATTATTGGAGCGGTCGAGATGCTCCGCCGTTGCACTGATGATGGTGTCGACCATGCCGAGCTCCAGGAGCGCATTTGCAGAATCTCTGGCAGCGAGTGCCTCTCTGCCAGACACAAGCGGACACGAAAGGAGTTGGATGAATAATGAACCACGTTTGTATGAACGCAAAACATCTCACTGGTGGGCGATGCAGTGGCACGAAACCAGATGCGGGATGGAGAGACTAAGTCACCCGCATAGCCAGTTGGTTCCGCCAATCATACAGAGCGCCGTCGGTGCTAATCCCCGAAATCTTGTTGAGGGGGGGATTGATGTTGTCGAGGTAACCACTAAGCTCTGCATGCAGGGACACTGCATCACACTTATCAATAGACAGGAGCGTACAAAATTCGGCAGTAACCTCATGCTCTCGCAGGAAAGTTACAAACACGATTATGTTGCTTTGCACGGAGATGGGTTGCCGTTGCCGTCACAAGTTCCTAGAATCCGTACCTGCGAAATCAAGGAGCAAGATAGAGCGTTAGATTTGTATATGAAGTATGTAAATATACAGAGGTAAACAAATACACAGAAACACAAAGTACTTGCGTCGTATAATATGCACCGTAACCATTCATCGGGAAACCAAGAGTCCTACGGGATGCAAGGTGCGAGAAAATTTGCACCCACATCTCTATATCTGCATCTGTTTTTGTGACGAAGAGTAACATCTCAAAAAAGGGCCTCAAAGCTATCGTGCTCGACATCACGCGCTTTCAGACAGTTGGCTTTGCGATGTTGTCCGGTCACCTTCGCCAACGCAAACTCTTGGTTGCGAACCGCATCCTTGTGCTTCTGGATTCATTGATGTCGTTGCATGGCTCAAATCTGCACATCAAGCGCCCCCTCGCCCCTCCCGAAGTTGATTCCTGCGCGATACTCCATGCACACAGTGCACTTCATGGATAAGTATCCATATGACGTCTGACAAATAATTGGCCACGGGAAGTCAATAGTCTTTTTTTTTTTTTTTTTTTTTTTTGCATGAGTAAAGCTTCCTGGTATTTGTTATCCGCGATGTCGGGAAGTTCGATGTCAGACGAATCAGTGGCGGCGGTTATGACAAGAACAATTGGTTAAGTGGGTTGGGTCTGATCTTGCCTAGTGTTTGAAGGAGCTATAGGGCTGTGTGATGCACGGACGAACGTCAGCTTGGTCTAGTGGTACCGGTGCGTAGAGACTTTTTTGCTCGGGGGTCCTTTCCGGGTTGTCCCTTTTCCGGCAGCTTTTTCACCCGGCTTGCGAATCAGCGATGGGAGCGGACTGTTATCAGCCGCAACTGCTGTAGGTGTTGCGGGACACAGTGGAGGTGGCTGGGATGACGATGGGAGGGAATTTTGTTCGACTACGACTTCTGTTGGTGTTGTGGGAGACGGTGGAGGAGGTTGTAACAGCCTACCGTGCAGAAAATCCAGGCCCGTCTGGCCTAAGGGCCGGACCCATGGTGGAGGCTTCACCATCTTCCGCTGGCGATGGCTCAGCCATGGACAGTCAGCACGGGAAGACTGCCTTTTGAGATACTACGTTCAGCAGGTGGAAAGTAAACGGGGAAAAACGAGGAATAACAGCGAGTCAGCTAGGGTTTCATTGAGCTTCTTTGACAGGATGGAGAGGATCGAGGAAGACAGAGCATCTGGTATGATGCAGATGCTTTCACAACAGAAACCATGGCACCACGACAAAAGGTGTATGCGCTGGCTCGGAAGTCGCGGAGAGGCAGGCAGTGCATGCTTGTTCCATAAGGTTCAACATCACTGCGCATGGCACCGCGTGAAACCTGTATGGTTGTGGACGACGGTGTAACCTGTATGGCGCTTCGTGAAACCTGTATGGCGAGATAGCGGCGCAATATCATTGGACGTTAGCACAAGTATGATGTGTCGACAGCTTGGGCGCAGTCTGGTTTTTAGCCAGCCAGGCAAAAAATATCAAAGCGACAATCCTTTCCTCTGTTGCTCCCCATCCTGCCTCGCTATCTCTGCCGATGTGCATGATTTTCGGACTCTGGCTGCCAACTAGGCGCCAAGTCTATCCCAAGCTCGAGCTGCCGCCTAGGCTCCCAGCTTACTCCGGAATTGGGTCGCCGACTAGGCACCCTTTCCATTTCTGTGAACCGCTGTGGCCAACGCCTTCGCGTTCACGACACACCTCCTAACACCGCTTGTGCTTGGCCTTTGCCTTGTCTTCCTGCTACCTTTCCCCCCTGGCCACCTGGGCCCCCGTCACCCCGACGTGCCACTGCTTTCGCTTGGCCTTCTGACTCGGGCCTCCAGTCACTCTCTCCAGATTGCGATGGCCGCCTTGGCCCGTGCGCCCACACTCTCACCGTACCACCCGTTCACCCCAGCCTCCCGGCTCCCGTTATGTTTCGCCTAGCTGCTGGTCGCGTGCTCTCTTAACTCTCTCACCATGCTCGTCCCTTTACTGTTGCATCCTATCTTGACATTGCGATCTTCCCCCTCGTCCCCGCCCTCGTTCCGTCTTCCTCGTCCGCCCCGACTAGCCTGCGCCTTGTCTCGGACTTCTTACACCCGCCTTTTATCCCACATTCCCCCCCGTCTGACGAGCCGACGGCTGTAAAACAGCCGCACCGCGCTCATCTCAGAAACCGTGCCCTGCCCCTGCAGGCTGCTGTATCTCGCTGCCCCGCGACTAGACCGCCCTGCTGCGTTACAGCCGGTGCTGGCGCTCCCCCGTGCCTCCAGAGTTCCCCCCTCACCGCTCACCCCCCTGTCGCTACACCCCCTCACCCATCCCCCCTCCCGCTCATTCGTTTTTCGCCTTTGCCCTCCCCCCTCACCTGGATGCTGAGACGCCTCTCTTGTCACCCTCCTACGAGCATCTCACTCCCTTTCTGGCATGCTACCCCTCTCTTTGATGGTACTGTGTCTTCCCCTTTTATCATGGTCCTTCCGCCCCTCCCAACTTGTGTCTTTTTTCCTGCTTTCCTATTCCCCGACCCTCCTTCCCCCCTTGCCCGGCATGTCCGCCTTCCCCTCTCTGGCTGCTCGCCCCGGTCCCTCCCCCCCCCCGAATTTCAGGCAGTCTTCCGACCTGTCTGGCAGCCTTGAGCTCCAGTTGGCTGCGAGTCATCACCCCAACCTCGACAGCTCAGAACTCTCTGGGCTCCTGGATGTTTCCTACCCGTCTGTTACAGCCCTAAAGCCTATGGCTCCCAACTCCTGCTTGCTAGCAATCTATGCAGCTTCCGCTGCTTTCAGTAGGTTGAACATTATAAATTTTAGACTCAACTCCTTATTAAGCAACATATCAACACCACGCGCGAAGCACACCAGCAGTGCACCTACACGCAACACTTCCTCTCCTTCGTCACGTATTTCTGGCCAATTACAGGAATCCTGTCTAATGTATGACTGGCAGTATCAATTGTGCCTTACTTACACATGTGCCTTAGCCCGTGGATCCGCGCACCCTCCTGCGCGGTGCACTGGCGTTCACTTAGAAGAATGTTGACGCCCTTGCGGGTTCGCTGCCTGAATATTAACGGTATCAACACACCAGTTAAACGCAATTCTTTAAAACGTTGGCTTTCCACCTCTCGTCCTCACGCGGACATTCTCATTTTAGTGGACACACGTCTCTCAAAAAACCTACCTCGACTTTCACTCCAACTCCGGCCACACTCTTCAGTTCACGCTCCAATCCTTTACGCAAGTTCCGCAAGTTCCGCAACAAGTTCCGCAACCTGGTGGTATCTCCATCCTGTCCTTCAATCGAGCAGTTTCTCTCACCTCCCCATTCCCCTCCGCCGATGGCCGCCTCCTATCTGTACACATCAACTTCCTGCATGGGCAATTGCGCCTCATCGCCATCTACGCGCCGAGACCTACCACTGACCGTCGGATCTGGTGGAGATCAATCCTAACTCCTGCATTGGAACAACCATCTGCAGCTGTAGCTACGATCCTCGCCGGTGACTTCAACTCGGTAGTTTCCCCTTTAGACCGTAACCGCCCGTTGCTTGGCCACGAACTTAGCGAGGCCACCATAGTGTCCAATCTTCTGTTATCGCACGCATTGTGTGACGTGCATCTTCCACTCCAATCCGTCGACCCCGTATTTTCCTTCATTGGTCGCCGTGTTAATGCCGGTACAGCTCTCCCGCCTACATCTAGATTAGACCGAATCTACCTCTCCAGTTCATTCCTCCCACGGACCTCTGAAACCTCCTACCTCTGGACCCCAGAAGACGTTTCTGACCACTCCTTCGCCCCCCTCTGCACCCTCACATTCGACAACCCAGCCATGGCACTGCGACCTTGGCGTCTCAGCTCCTCTCTCCTCCGCCGACCCCAAGTTGCTAATATAATCGACTCCCACCTCCCCTCCCTGCCGTCAAGCCCTTCTCCCGAAGCGTGGGACTCCTGGATACTAGGCCTTACCCTTAGCCTCAAACGGTTCTCGAACGAAGAGCGCAGACGAGTTACCGGCACTACCGACCACCTCGTACGACTCATCAGTTGTCTCCAACTCCAATCCGCCCTCTCCCCTCTGAACCATGATGAAACCACACAACTCCTCAAAGCCCGACAACAACTCACACGATACGAGACCTCTAAAACCGCTGAGCTCGCTCTAAAAGCAAAGCTCAAAGTCGAGGGACATAGGGAGATGGGAATCTCCTCCCTGCTGGCCGGACTTAACTCCCACATAAAAGACTCTCTAATCCCCTCGCTTACACTCCCGGATGGACAAACAACCTCTGACCTTCGTGCCATGACCGCTGAATGCACCAGATTCTTCCAATCCCTCTATAGCGGGGCAACCCCGGGCGTGCCAAACCCTGCTTTCTGGGCACACATTCCCCCTTCTTCACTCCCACCTCGACTCTTCAACCACTTGCAAGCTTCGTTCGCCCTTGTGGAAATTAGCAAAGCTATCGGGCAGCTCTCCCGTGGAAAGACCCCTGGCCCCGACGGCCTCCCGGGTGAGCTGTTC